GGAGATTGTTGGTGTTATATACTTAAGCTTTGCTTTAGTGGATATTACACTTGTTTTCTTGATGAATGAGAATTATGTTTGGTTAAATAAGTTCCACGTTCTGTTGTTTTGCATGTAGATAAGTGGGTCGTCATCGGGCGTACCGAAGATCACTATATCAGTTACTTGCGAAACAAGAATCATTGGTTCACAACCTAGATGGAATTTAACAACCCATCGGAACGGTTGTAGTGTCAACCGTACGGTTTGTCTTGACCGATTAGTTGCACTAGTACATTTATGTATTGAACAGGATCCCAGAGAGGGATGTTCATTTTATACTGATCGTCGTAAACGAACTATGTAACACCCCGCCTTACTAGCTAAATCAGAGTAGCGCATTTAATCGCAAAGTCTTTGAAAAATAAAACATTTCTACTTTGCGAAACTGATTTGGGGTGCTACCGTGAAAATCTTTACTTAACTTTAGAAAACCGTTGTTTTAACTTATTAAAAACGTCCGGTTATTTAAAACTTTATTTTCTGAAAAGTTCGTCAAAATGCGATAAATCCGACAAACCATCCAAACATCGTCAAAAGCTAATCAAAACGTATGCGGAAGCGTAAATATTAGTTATACAGTCCAAAACATATGTATAAATGTCCTGAATGTCCCGAGCTGCTCCCGTCATGTCACACTCCCGGCCCGACCTGCTGACCTGAAAAATCAGATAAAACTGGGGCGTGAGCACTAGGCACTGTGCTCCGTGGAAACTCATACTAATGTAAAACATCGTAAATAATAACAATATCATGAACTAAGCATATATATCTGAACTGAACTGATACCGGTCTGAACTCGCGACCGAAGTCACGTAACTGAATCTGCTCGGCACAAACTAATGCCGCTCGGCACAACCTAATGCCGCTATCTCCCGGCACAAACTAATACCGGACCATGTGCACACTCTAGTGGTTAGATAAGGCCACTAGAACTCAGAATGGACCGGCGACCATCCCGAGTGGTTAC